TGGTGTGTCTGTGAGCAGGTGGGGAGAACCGGATGGAAGGCTCTAGAAGCAGCTCCACGAGCAGAGCTGAGGTAGACACTTTCTCTGCACCTGTTTCCTGTGTCACACTTCAGATAGGGGATAGTCCAGGCTGGCGTGAAGCTCCCGGGGGATTTCGCTTCTGGGTAGAATTGCCTTTGTTTTTTTTCCTCAGAGACTGTTGTGTGGGCCTAGTGGTGCGTCAGGTTCCAGTTAGAATCCAGTGCAGGCAGCAGGCTTCTTTTTAATTAGAGAGGGTCAAGTTCACCTCCGGTTAGACTCAGTGCAGGCAGCAGCTTCTCTTTAATTAGAGAGGGGTCTGGGTGCTGGGCTTCCCGTCAGGGAGAAGGTGCTGTGGGGCTGAAGTCCGTCGTGTGTCCCCTTCCTGTGTTAGAAAACTGTCTTTGGTGCTCCTGGGGCTGCCCTACAAGTGCTGCTCTGAACTGTTAGGTCGTTCAGAATCCACTTGCGTCCTGTCCCCAGGAATCTCCTCAGACCCTATTTAGACTGCTCATAGACTTTCCCTTCCTTTTTTGCACTAAGCGGGTTCTTTCTCCGTTAATTTTTTAAAGCTTTTTCTTTCTGTCATTTCGGCGGCACTGGGAGGGGTGGGAGTTAGATAGGTGTTTGTAGTCGGCCATCTTGAGAAACTTCTCAAAACTGGAGGGTTGTAACTGCTTGAGTTTTGAAGTTAATGGAATGGGCGCATTGCCTTTATAACTGTACATGTTACTGCTTCACTTACTGTTAGCCCAAGCCGGTGTCTTGCATCTGCCCAGATCCTTCTTTGTGGTACGTGCTCACTTTTGGCGACAGCCAGGCTGTTCTTTGCAGGCGTGTGCTCCTAGCAGTCGAAGACAGAAGTCTGGGGGCCTGTGTAGGCTGTATGGGCTGCTGTGTGTGTGTGCCGTCTGAGACCACCCCTGCTCCCCTGAGTGCTGCCTGATCTGCCTGCATGACCACGGTGGGACACCACTGTTCCCTGGTGTCCTTTCCTGGCTGGCAGTGTGGTATTGTGGGCAGAGCCAGGCTGGTGGGCTCTGATCTTGGTTCTGCCTTTGTAACGTTTGTCACACTGTCTTTTGGGAGCTCGTTTGTGTGTGTGTGTGTGTGTGTGTGTTTTCTGCCTGTAAGATAAAGTGGCATGCAGTCTACACTGTGAGGTACGGGCTGTGTGCGGGCCAGCACAGCACGCTGTGGTCCTAGGCAGGGCGGTGTCCTTCCTTTCCCCTGCCTGGTGGCGCTGCCCTTCCCTGCCTCGCGTGGAGGTTGCTCCTGGCCTGCAGAAGGCAGAGAGCATCTTGGCAGGATGAGCCCTGCCTGCCTTCCCATTGCTGTGCTCCTGCCTCCCCGCTCTGCTCCTCCCTCCCCTTCCTGGAAACTACCTAAAATACTTGGTTACTTCTTTTTTGAAGCTGTGTTCTCTGTCCTAGTGTTTGGGTGTTGATACAGTGGAATCCACAAAATTGAATAAGATTTGATTCTCATTTTAAAGTGAAATAAATCATTTGGGTGCATGTTGGGTGAAAGTGCTGTAATTGATAGCATTCATCATCAGACTTTAATTTTATCCCTGGGGTGTAGGAGTAGGTGGGATTAAGTACAAAATCTACAGAAGCAGGGATGGCGAAAACGTACTGCTGGATTTCTGTTTTTCACATGTCCCCAGCAATATGGACCATTTGCATTAAACTTTTAATAGCAACACTTATTTAAGATTCATTTTTTACTCTTGCTCTGAAATCACAAATTCCATTTGACAGTGATAGGACAAAATTATAGTTTTAAACTTTGCAAACCACACTCCAGAGCTGTGCCAAAAATAACAATTTCTTGTGTCAAGAATAACTTCCTCATCAAGTCACTGGAGGAGGCGAGCTGACTGGTGGCGATGCAGACCGCTAAAGCTTCAGTGAGCCCAGAAAGTGTGCGCTCCACGTTGCGGAGACCTCTCTGTCAGTATTGAGATGGTGGAAAGTGAGGAGAAGCAAAAAGATGACTACTTCTTTCCCCATTCCCTGGTCAGGTTTTTTTGGGGTCTACGTAGAGGTGCATCAGCCTGCGCTACCATGGAGGCAGGAGGCATTCTTTCTGCTCTCGCGTCAGTACTGACGGGGTTGAAGAAGGTTGCTGTGCTTGTTGGTGAGGGTATTGCGAGGGTGGTGTGAAAGCAGTTGGGCTGGAGTAGAGCTGGTCACAGTGTGTCCTTTTGCCTGGGATCCCCTTTGTTTACATTTGTGTGGCCCTAGTGCTACAGTGATGTCACTTAGCTCTGGGGGACTGTCTGAAATTTTGTGCTCTAAATTATTAATACATGTTTATGTGTGGGTTTGCTAGAATGCTGTGTCCATTATTGTTGGCTCCTTGCACAGCTCTCCTTGTTCTGCCTCACTGGCTGTGAAATTGGCTCATGTTGTGGACTCTGGGTCCAGCGAGATGCATCTGAGGTGTTGACCCGGTGGTGTGGGCCTGGGGCTGCCAGTGGTCCCGTTGCCTGATGAGGGAGACCATTCCTGAGACTGTAGCACACACTCAGGAGAGTAGGAAAGGTGGAGAAAGCCTCCTGGTTCTGAGCTTGTGGCTCTTGCTATCCTTGACTTGTTTGTTGTGCGAACCTTTTTTTGTTTAAGCCAATTTGAGTTGGGTTTACTTACTCGTAGTGGAAAGGTTCTGACACAGGATCTTTATTATATGAAGTGTTTTCATAATGTACGTTGTGTTATACATTATGACGTATCACACAATCTTGTGATGTAGCTTGCTTTGCCATTTTTATTATGTGGAAGATATTCCTGAATTTCTACACTTCCTATGAATTTGGAGGCAGGGTGAGGCAAAGTCACCAGTATCAGGGTATCAGGGGAGCCTTTCAAATCTCAAACATTGAAGTGTTCTTCTGTGACCTGTTTCTTCATCAAGTTGTGTCTGCTCTGCAGAGTGACTGTGACAGCTGACATCCAGTGTGAAGGTGTGGTCACTCCACTGGAAGAGAAAAACCTAGCACCCTGAGAGTGGGTGGATCTGCTGGTGATTTTTCAAGCAATGTCTTCCCGTTTTTGGATGCTCCTCCCTTCTGTAGGTGGAGCCTTGTTCTCTTTTCATTGAGTACAGGTGGGGCTGATGACTCATTTCTAATGAACAGAGCACGGCCTGCCTGACTGCTGAGGCTAGCTTATAGGATTCCTGAAGCTGCAGGCCCTGGTTTCCTTTCTGCGTGTGCCCTGGGGTCACTCACTCTGGAGTCCGTTGTCCGTGCTCTGAGGACTCAGGAACTGAGGGCTCCTGCTCACAGCCATGCCGTGGAGCTGTCTTGGTAGCACTTCCTCAGTCCCGGCAAGGCCTCAAGGCTGCCAGAATCCTGCAGCTCCAGCTGACACCTCAATGACCTCCCGTGAGACCCAGAGCCACATTCACCTGGTTAAGCTGCCCTGAACACTGACACGCAGAAACTGAGATAACAGATGCCTGTCGTTTGGGCCACTGAGTTTCAGAGTGAGTTGCCTGTAGAAATGGATGAGCAGCATCTGTGCACGGAGGTGAAGGGTGGAGCCAAGCGCATGTCTGTCAGACTCCGCTGCCATCCATCCTTTCCCTGCCTGCCTTCCTCCTACATGGTGCTGGATCAGCCGAGAGGATCAGCAGCAGAGAGGCTTCTGTGAAAGAATGTGCTCCTTCAGGGCCGACTTGCATTTGTGTCTTTTTTTTCTTGGAGATTTCTGTAAAACAGCAGCCGTTAGCAGTTATGTGATTACTACGTTTAGAATTTGGGAAGAAAGGGAAAACCTTGTTTGCCATGAAATAAGTACTCTGTTGATAAGTATTCCTTATTTTGAATAATGGAGAATTCTCTGTGTCTTAGCCAGTTAAGAGTTACTCACTTTTATGTTGTATTAAAATGATAAAAGTTACTCCAGTGACCTGACTGCTTCACTTAATGAGTTTTGTTTTTGTTTTTGCAAGATGCATTTCCTCTCTTTCAGGAATAAGTTCTGTTGGGGAAAATACGGAATATGGACATGTTGCCACCTCCTGCTAGATGATGGCGTGTTAATAAACAGTTCCTACATCTCAGCATTTTACAGCCCCCAAAGATTTATTATGTCGTATGTGTTAGCTGCAGATAAGGTGTTGCTCTGCTCGAAGCGTCTTCTTTCGTCAGCATCCAGGCTGAGAGAATAGCTCCATTTTGAGCCTTGCCATTCTCATTTAAGGGAAAAGGATGGGAGGTTGGCTGGAACCCCTGAAGGCTCCCAAGCCTTCTGCTTAGAACCAGTGTGCGTCCTTTCTGCTCAGAGCTGGTGTCTGCCTCTTCTGTCATATTGTGTCCGGAATTGGTTCCTTCTGGTGGGTTCTTGGTCTCTCTGACTTCAAGAATGAAGCCGCGGACCCTCGTGGTGAGTGTTACAGTTCTTAAAGATGGTGTTTCTGGAGTTTGTTCCTTCAGATGTTCAGACGTGTCCGGAGTTTCTTCCTTCTGGTGGGTTCGTGGTCTCGCTGACTTCAGGAGTGAAGGAAGCTGCAGACCTTCATGGTGAGTGTCACAGCTCTTAAAGGTGGCGCATCCAGAGTTGTTTGTTCCTCTGGGTGGGTTCGTGGTCTTGCTGACCTCAGGAGTGAAGCCGCAGACCCTCGCGGTGAGTGTTACAGCTCATAAAGGTAGTGGGTACCCAAAGAGTGAGCACCAGCAGCAAGATTTGTTGTGAAGAGCGAAAGAACAAAGCTTCCACAGCGTGGAAGGGACCTGAGCGGGTTGCTCCTGCTGGCTCAGGTGGCCAGCTTTTATTTCCTTATTTGGCCCCACCCATGTCCTTCTGATTGTTCCATTTTCCAGAGTGCTGATTGGCGCGTTTTTACAGAGTGCTGATTGTTGCTTTTATAAACCTTTAGCTAGATACAGAGCACTGATTGGTGTGTTTTTACAGAGTGCTGATTAGTGTGTTTATAAATCTTTAACTAGACACAGAGTGCTGATTGGTGCGTTTACAATCCTTTAGCTAGACAGAAAAGTTCTCCAAGTCCCCACCTGACCCAGAAGCCCAGCCGGCTTCACCTCTCAATATCTCACTGGCCAGAGAAAGTCGTGTGGCCAGGCCTGCCCCTGCCTGTAGGAAGCTGATGGATATCACTGGACCCAATGCAGACTCTTCCTTGAAGGGCAGGGGGAGTGAATGAAAGCAGCCGTACTGTCTGCTGCAGTGAGCCCGGATTAGAGAGGTGGAGGAAGTTGGAACATAGTGTACTGAATGTGAAAATTTTAGGTTGAGTCGATATCACCTCTTAGAACTTGTGCCTGTTGAAGCCTTCTTATTTTACAATAATACTCTTTTTGATTGAAGCTATCCTGGAAACCACTGTGGGTATTTCTGCTAATAGTCGTCCTCTGGTCAGAGGTTTTCATATTTGGGGGCAGGGGTGACTATAAGCTCCCTGATGTCGCCTGTGCATACACGTAGGGTCACCCTAAGGGCCTTAGCCTGCCAGATGGATGCTGGTGACAACAGCCGAGCCCCATCTTCCTCATGTCCAAATGAGTCCTCCTTTTGTCAGGTGTTAGTTCAGGAACTAAACTTAATAATAAATGTGGCTGCTTTGGTGTAATCATAAAATGAGGAATATGCCAAAATCAAATTCCTTTGGAGACATACCAAAAATTAAGGCTGGAAGTTGAGTCTGGGCCAGATTGTAGAGCCTTTGATGACTGGTTCCAGCACCTTTGGCTTCAGTTTCTTCTGTGGAGTTAGGAGTCAGAGAGCTGGGTGCCCAGGAACAATCAGCCTGGGCCTAGAGACTGGACAGCAGTGGGGAAGGGACACCAGACAGCGACCTCCCGATACGCCTGTTACAGATGGTGGCCTCAGGTCCACATTTGCATGGGCTCACCCCTCTTCCTTTTTTCTGCTCCAAAGTCTGTACCTCCATTGGGAGCACGCACAGTTATCACCCTCTCTGAGAAGCCCTTTCTGACTCACGTTACAGGTGCTTGCTTTCTGCCACCATGGACTACTCGATGACTCCTCCTCCTCTTCCTCAACACCCAGGGCAACTTTTCCCTACCGTCTTTCTGTGTCTGGAGACATCACCTCTCTCGGCCCCTAGGTGGGCGGGGTCCTGACCAGCCCTGGGCAGCGGCCTCTCTGGGGAGAGCCCAGTGCCCTCCCTGCTGCGTCCTTCATCTTCCTCCTGGTCATCTCCAAGCCGAGCCTCCTTTCTCTGGAACCACGTGTGGGAGATGCAGTTCCAGGACAGAGGAGTGAATACCCACTCGCCTTAACTCATTTTTTTTTTCTCTTGTTGTCCTGTAGCCAGCTGCTGAATTCCTCACCGCGCATCTTCACCCTTCTCTCGTTTTCTGTTCAGCCAGCTCTCTTGACCCTGGTCCTTCTTGCTCGAAATCATCTTTTTTTTTTTTTTTTTTTTTTTAAAACAATACACTGTGTCAGAGGAATCCTTGAGTTTTACAACTGGAAGTGACTTTAGAGGTTAGCTGATTCAGCTTCTCTCCCTTCCCAGGTGAGGAACGGGACAGCCACAGCTATGTGGAGACTTGTCCACTCTGCAGCTGCCAGCTGTTTAGGGATGGATGCCCCCTCTTGGGTACTGAGTGGCCACATCCATGTTTGTCTGGGATGGTCTTGCTTTGTGTCCCTGTTCCCAGGTGAATTTCTGACAATGTTCCCTTTTTCTCTCAGCAGAGATCTGGACGGCTGGTGAACTGCATGAGTGTCCTGCGTGGACTGCCGTCGTCCTGTGGCTTTAGACCTTCTGGTGTCTTCTGTGCCGTCCTTGTGTTAAAACCCCCCCTTTTTTTTCCCGTCAAGTTTGTTGTCAAATTGTATCTCATGTAAGATGATGGCCAAGACCGGCTAGTGTTATTAAAAACAAAAACCATTCCAAGTGAAAACAGCTAAGTCTTCATTAGTATCTCTTGGTATTGGCTGAGTTATCGATGCATTCTTTTGTCTGTGAAGATAATTTTAACCCTCTCTATGGATTATGTAATTCTAGGTTTTTCTCTAAACTGAGGATTAGGATGTATATGCTTGTGAGAAAAACTGGTTTGAGAGTTCCTCATGGGTGTTGAGTGTTACAGTCACTCAGGACATTGTTACTAGTGGACTGCCTGTGCCCTGCCTTGAATTTAGCGATGCTTTAAAAGAAAAATTGCTGTGATACTTTAGGAAGATTATAGCAGTCCTTTCTTTGATTCAAGGGGAATGGCATACTGTTGATCAAAGTTCATTCCCACAGGTTGCAGGCCTAAGGGCACTCCATTTTCAGTCTGTAGAAGTGGAGGGAGTCTGGAGGATCCCACAGTGGGTGCCCGGGACCTAGACGAGAACTGTGTGTGGGTGGCCTGTGTGCTGCTGCCTCCACAGTGCACCCAAGTCAGAGTGCACCTGGGGGGCCTGCTGCAGACCTGGTGGCCAAGGTGCCCCTTCCACATGGGAGAGGCAGGACCCCCTGCTCTGAGTCTGAGACTTACATTTCTTTCCCTCCAGTTGCTGGTAGGCCCAGTCTACGCAGCCAGGGTCTTCGGAGGAAGGGTGTTGGCGGTGTGTTGGGTCAGCACCCCTTCCTGCTGCTCTGAGGTCTGTGTGGTTTCTGTCTGCCCTGCATGAGCCCCCTTGGCCAGGCCTGCTGTCGAGGCTCGTGTTCCTGACACTCCCCTTCACGGGCAGTGCTGTTTGATTTTGCGATTATGCATTGTCCATACTCTATTAAAAATGGCCTTAAGCTGGTCATGATTACCACTAGAAGTTATAGTGTGAAATGGTGCTAGGCTGTTCATTGTTGTGTAGACAGTGTGGGGAGTGACAGTTCTGCATCCGTGGCCTGAGAATTCAGGGGAGGGAGAGGCAGGACAGTCAGGGTGCTAGCACAGCTCCCCGGAATCCTGAGCGAGCCCCCAGAGCAGGCCGGGGAGGCTGCCCTCTTTTGTGTTGGTGTCTGTAATCCTGCTGTGAGTCTTGGGGTAGTGAGGACAGTTTGGGCTCCCATGACTGAAGGGTGAAGTCGGTCATTCAGTGTGTGCTAGGGCAAGAGTTTGTGGTAGAAGCAACTGCTTCAAGGCTGTGGCTTCTGGATGGAGTCAGGTGATCTCCCAGGGATGTGAGCTGGAGTCTTGTTGATGGAGATCTGTGGAAGGATGGCGCCTGTTTGACATTGAAAGCTGTAGAGCTGTAGAAGTCATCCCGTGTGCTGTGTTTGCAGTGCATGGGTGTGCAGACATGTGGCCCATTCTTGCACAGTGGAACTGGGAGGTGTGTGGGTTCAGGAAAGAGCACTGGATTAGGAATGAGGAGTCTCCTGGGACCGTGGATGAGCTACTGCACCACTGTGGCCTTGGCTCATCCGTGCCTGATCCCTGTCTGCAGAGGGAGCTGCCATGGTGTTGGAGCCATCTTTTTGTCTGAGAAATGTCAGTAGCTGGAAGAAAAGCCTTAGCAGCTCCCCATACCTTCTGTTGCTTCCTCCCTTGCCTGGAACACCCCCGCCTCACCTGGCCACATCCTGTGTCCCTTTCCAGACTTGACTGCTCCTCACCTTGCACTGCCTCTGCCCTGCGGCCCCATTCCCTCTCTGCATTCCCACTGAGCTGGAAGACCGCAGCCTCCTACGTCTGCTTTCTAGCCTGAAAGTCCAACTTTTTCAAAAAACTTATTTTGTGTTTTTGAATATGCTGACATATTTTAACCTGGGTGATATTAATCATGAAGTTATGCCTCTAAATCTTTCAAAATGACCTTTCCAAAAATAACTCCATGTTCCCACATAGCCAAAATTGTAATGTCTGTCATACATGACAAGGTTAGTAATGATGTCTCAACACCATCTGATATGTAGTCTGTGTTTACATTTCCCCAGGTGCTCCCAAGTACACTTTGTCGATGGTTTATCCGAAACGGTCCAGTGCAGGGCCCCTCGTGGCATGTGGAGTCTCTTAATCCAGAACAGTCTTGTTTTCCGTGGCCCAGAATTGTGCACAAACTTAATGTCTGGCTTTTATAGCTGCCCAGAACTGCTTGTTCAGTGAAGGCACAGAAAAGACAACGGGGATGAGACATTGAAGACATTTTTTTCTTCTTTGGTTCAGGGAGGATTTCTCTCAGTCTTAAATATTAATGATGTTCGGCGTTCAATTAAAAAACTATGCCCTTGGTCCTCCTCCATGCCGTGGTCTTCTGGACGCACAACTGGATCCCCAGGCTTGTCGGCTCCTTCCGGTGTCTCCCCAGTGTCTGTCGAAATCCCCCTCATCCCGCTTGTCCCTGTGGCTGAGGTTCTCCGACCTACGATTGCAGAAATCTTCCTCAGATAGTTTCTCTGTGTCTCACTATTTTCTTCTATGGTCTGTATAGTTTAGTACCTTGTAGCCGTTCTATTTTATGCCCAAATTGCTTTATATATGGCCTGTGTATTTCATAGAAGGCAAGATAATTTTCCTAAACAGTGCCAGCTACAATTCAGCTTCCTAAGAAGCGATTTCTGCAAAGCATTGCAAGAGAAATGAGGTCCAACAAGCGTACTCTGCGAGAATAGAGTTGAGGAAGTCGTTGTACTTGGGGGCTTCATTTTTATCTCTAAATGAGAGGATTGACCTGTAAGTCATGTAGATGATTCTTCTCTCTGTTTGGTGGGCTTTTTCTTGTGGTTATTTTGAATTTTTTAAAAGTGGGAGTTTTCCTTGGCAGAATGGAGTTATCTATAGGTCTGTTTTGATAAGCGAGATTTGGTGTGCCCTTTTCTTTTTGAAGGCGTGGGGCATTCCAGTTGCTGCTTCCTGTCCTCAAGCGTGTTCCCCTTTCCCTGGTGAAGATGAGCAGTCTGAGGCCCGAGGGGCCCAGTGCAGGGCTGTAGCAAGCAGGTGGTCAGGGAGGCTCTGCTCCATAGACCCAGCCCTCTTCCTTCTTCCGGCGCTGCTGCCTCCTTCCCACAACGTGCTGCCTTGTGTTGTGCCATTTAGTGTTAGACCGTGGGAACTCCCCTGCCCACTCCCCTTTTAAGAAGGTATTTTTCTATCCTTGTTTGAGTACTCTGGGCTTCTTTTATCCCTGATTTGGTATTGTATTTCATTATGTAATTTCTATTGAGAGTAAAATGTCAAAAATAAACTAAGTAATTTTAATGTTAATTTTCTGGTGGAAAACTGGTAGGATGATTTCATTTTGGGAATATGGGGTCATTCTACTGCACATTTAATTCACTTAAATGTAAAAGTAAGTGTGCGTGTTTGAAATAGGTTTTTCGAAATGGATAGATCCTAATGCATATTTTGGGGCGAAGTGTGTCTGTGCAGCCACCCTCTTCCCCAGCATGGTGCCTGTGCCGGCCTCGAGCCTGCTGCTGGGCGGGATTCCTAATGACCCTCCTTACCTCACCGCGAACGCCTCTCACCCTGGGCTGTGTGTTGGAGTCACTTGAAGAGGGTTGGCATTTTGATTTTGAGTCTCTCCAGAACACTGCTGGAGTATCCTGCCCTCTCACAGCCCCCCAGGAGGCCTTAGCATGCAGCTCCTGCTGAGAATTGCAGCTCCTGAGGCTGAGGCTTCCAAAAGGAGGCCTGGTGACAATGGAATATGGTTTGTACTTCCTTCCATCCTGCTGCTCCTTGCCTTGCCAAGAGCGGAAATACTGCTAAAGCACCCAGCAAGTCGTGGTGGGGAAATGAATGAATCCTGTCTAAGACACTTGCCTTAATAACCCTAGGGGAACAGTTTAGTATGTTAAATGTCATGGTAATTCTTACATACACACTGATTTACTTTTTGCAGAGATATTTCTACAAAAGTTCTGAGACTTCCCTCTGATTCCCATAGTACAAAATTTCTCTGTACTCAGATTTTTCTGTTTCTGTTTTTTGTTGAATAGATTTCTATTTTAGGAAATAGTCTGTTACCTTTCTCCAGAGAAGCACTTCAATCGAAACATTCTATTGGCTGAGAATGTGCATTTTCCCCCTCTCAGGGGTAAGGATTTGCCTCATCTCATTGTCTAGCTTCCTGTTGAGAAGTGTGGTGTGTGTATTCACTTAAGCGCTGATGTCATATTGAAGCCCATTGGTGGGCAATTTCAGCCAATCAGATGCTTCCTGGTATCCAAGTAAGAAAGGTATATAGTTCTGGAATAACAGGAAACTTCACGTTTTTCACATCCTGTTGTTCTGGGTTTTGTGACTTGCTGCCTTGCCACTATGAAGGTTAGTAGAAATTTATGTATGTATTTCTTTTTGCAGTATACCATGACTTGAATTTTCCGAGCTCTAAGATTAGATCTGTGGAGCTGAAAGACATTCAGATCTCCTATTTAAACATTTTATGATGAAGAGAAATTTTATGTTTTGCATATAAGGAAGCTGAGGCCTAAAATGTAATTCCTTTTTAAAAATGCAGCTTAACCTGTATTTGTTATAGATGGTTACGTCAGCCTAATGCTGCTCTCATTGGAGTTGGGATTTCTACTTAAGTAATATCACAACAAATGTATTCTGTACTAGAGATGATTCTAAAGACTGTCTGTTCTAAGGACTGTTTTTTAAAGGAAGGATTTAGCTTCATGAAATCAGTTATATTTTGTGCTTTATTAGAAATGGCATCCGTAAGCACATAGAATGCTTAAATGTGTTCACAGCTTTCCTTTTACGTTTTGTGGTTCCTTTCGATAATCCCTTGTGAACTTCAAGAAAGTGACCTCTGGTTTTCAGCTCCTTTCTTGGCTCTCTTAGTGATTTGCTGGCTTTTTCTCTTGAGGTAGTTTTTCCAAGTCTGGTTTTTCTTATGTTTAAACATCTCATGACTATTTTTACTTATTTGAAAAATTATAGACAGAAGGCCTTTAGCTGAAGATGAATTTTGAATAATACAGCAGGACTTTTTCATATTTGGTGTCACTTTTCTTAGCTTCTCTTGACGTGAGCTTCATTACAGCAGCATGCAGCGCCTGCAGGGTGGGTGGCTGTTTGGATGCTGGTGCACGTCTCCATTCGGATGCCTTCTCACTGTGCACCAGCCTCTGCTGGGTGTTGGGAGATGTACAATCTGCCACTGCAGCTTTTTTAGTCTAGGAAGGCCTGTAGACATCCACCATCAAATTATCATGACACATGTTCTGGGGGAGCCTGGCTGGGGACCTGACCGGGCGTGGTGGGGGCAGCAGGGCTGTCAAGGCAGGGCTCTGCCAGGAAGCAAGATGAATAAGGATTAGCCAGGAAAGGGAGGGGACCGAAGGCAGGAAGAGGAGAAATGGGGCTTCTGGCAGGGTCTGCTAGAGGTGTGGGGAGAGGGCAGGACTGACAGGAGGGGAAGATAGCCCTGGAGAGAAGGTGGGGCCCTTGTCCACTGATGCTCATTTCCGGTAACCTCAGAACATAGGGCAACAGGATACACGTTTTGCTATTTGAATACATCTTTCTGTTATTTGCACCTCTGAAAGAAATTGTTTCTTAATTTTTCTGGAATACAGTTGTGGATGATTTGACTGTTAAATTCATTTTTGCTTGAGGTTATTTGGTGACCAGAAGCCATATGTAGTCTTTGAGCAGTATCTGAGAGCTGTGTTTGTTTTGACACGGCTGTGTGTGTGCACACGCGTTCTAGGCTCTAGTTGCCGTATACCTAGGCAAACCAGTGTGCTTTATCTTTCCAAGCTCCAAGATGAGTGGTGGGAAGTGCCTGCCAGTGGCAATGTGACCAGCTCCATCATGGTCCCAGGGCTCCAGATAGCCTTGGATTGGAGGGGATGCGGTTGTGGGCTTGTCTGGTCCTGGCCTCAGAGCTCTGAGGGTGGTGGTGTTCTCTTGTCCCTACCCCTTTCCTGTCTGGGATCTGCTGCTTCTGTCTTTCCTCCTTTTTCCCTCATCTCCACTCTGCTCTCTGATGTCTGCATTTTCTTTTGCTGCTGTTAGCTTTGGAATTGGCTGTCATTTTCCCTTTTCTGTGTCTAGGAAGGAACATCTGTAGCATGCCTTGCCTGGGGCCTCTGTGTTAATCTAAGGAGAGGAGGATTGAGCAAGCACCTCTGCTTACTTGCTGAATGCCAGCAGCCTGCTGCCTCTCCCGCCGCCCCCCCGCCCCCACTGGCCCTGTGAATGAGCTCACACTCCAGCGTGTAAAGAGGGGCAGGGGCGGGTGCTGGGTAGGGAATTGGCCTAATGCCGAGGGGGGACCCTGCGCCTAAGTAAGAGGATTCTGATTGAATTCTTACCCCAGGACTGAGACTGAGCGTGCTGGTCTCCCTGTCGCAGGTTGTGTGGTCTCCTTAGGATTTCAGGCTGAGCATCGTCACGTTGCTGGGAGAACATAGTTCATCCTGCACCCAACGTAAGACTCTACTAATTTTGCTTGTTTAATTTTTCCTTTCAGACGTTTGATGCAAATGATTTGTATCAGGGGCAGAATTTTAACAAGGTCCTCAGTTCCTTAGTGACTCTAAATAAAGTAACAGCAGGTAAGACTCTTTTTTTATTGAACTCGAGGGGGCGGGAAGACATACGGGCTGACACCTTTGGTTTTCTGGTTTTACCAAGGCCAGGGGAGCGTTACTGAATTTAAAAAATAAGCTTTTGTTGCATTACATTTTGATTGTTCCTTTTGCTATGATATTTTATTTTCCTTGTTAGAACAGAATCTTCTTTAAATGTTCTGGTATGTATCAGGTGTTTTCCTTTTTGTGGATGGAGAGAGTTCTCACCTGAAGGTATAGCAGGAGAAAAGTGTCTAGTTCTAATGGGAAGGCTCATGGGCTGTCTTGGAGCTAGAAGCACCTTTCTCTGAGTTTTTATTGAGTGTATGCTGATTAAAATTTGTATCTAGTGAGCAGAAGTTTTGAGCTGTGACCATGATAAGAGAGTGGCTCGTGGATTGGCCTGTGAAGTCCACACCACCTGTCCAGGGCTCCTGAGGGCTATGGCACCCAGGTACATGGTGTGTGTGGTCCTAGCCCCTGTTAGTACTGAAGTGGAGAGGAGGTTTTGGGGACATGGTGTGCCCCTCTCATGGGCCACAGCGGAGACAGGAGTTGTTCAGACAGGGTCCTCTGAGGGATGGTGCATGTTGTCCATGATGCCAGGGTCCCCGGAGGAAATGCTCCATGAGCCCCGAGGAGCTCTTTCTTGGATCCCTGTGTGGCTCAAAAGGAAGGAACTTTTTAGTTGCTTTTTTGTTTAATTAGAGTAACTTTTTTTTTTTTTTAACTTAACCTTCACGGATGTTAAATATCAGATTTGTGAGGGAAAGTGACATGTCCTTTTCAAACAGAAACCTCTTGAGTTTATTTTGTCAGGGTCACTTCCCAGTTTGGTCTGGCCCTTCGGAGGGGGTGTATCTGCCTCGCTGCCCACCGAGGAGAGACTGGGGTTACGAACGCTTTGGGGCTGCAGTTCCTGTCTCTGGGAGGCTTCATTGGTGGTGCAGGGACTGTCCTTGGTGCTGCTCCCAGCACATGTGTGCTCTGACTGTTGTCTGGAAGCTGCTGCTGCTGCTGGTGCCCTGGCGGGAGGCACTGGCCCCCATCCCTGGGAGCAGGGGCAGACCCCAGGCAGAGGTGTGGCTGTGACTGCGTGTTCACAGCTTGACTTCTGAGGTTTAAAGGGCTGTTCAGATGAAAGCATCTAGGAAACAAAAATTTACATGGCAGGATTATGAAGATGGATATAACTAATGAAAATTGTCACATTATTTAATGCCTTCTCTGTCTCTACAGTCTAAAAATGATTCTTTAATATGAACAAACGATACACTTATCGAAAGTTACGGATGACATAGAAAAGGACATACATTTACAGTAGATCACTGGAATTTAATATAAGAAACACTGCAACAGATGATGTACAGAAGTGGCATATTCATGTGTCCTGACCACATGGGGGATGTGCCTGCAAACTCATATTCATCCATGCCTCAGAGTTTTGAATGACTTTTTATGGAGACAGGGTCTTGCTGTGTCGCCCAGGCTGGAACACAGTGCGTAATCTCAGCTCACTGAAGCCTCAGCCTCCTAGGCTCAGATGGTCCTCCCACCTCAGCCTCCTCAGCAGCTGGGTCTGCAGGTGTGTGCCTCTGTGCCTGGCTAATTTTTGCATATTTTGTAGAGATGGGATTTTGCTGTGTTGCCCAGGCTGGTCTTAAACTCCTGAGTTCAAGCTATCTGCCCGCCTTGGCCTCCCAAAGTGCTGTGATGACAGGCGTGTGCCACCATGCCTGGCCTCAATGATGTGCCTTATAATTAACGTAGGTCTCTGTGGCAGATGGGGCAATAGCACAGATATGTAAAATCTACAAGTAGTCCTTAATTTGACTGCTGCCATCGAATACTTTTCTAGAGGTTGCTCACAGGAGCAGAAGACAGTAACTTTGAATTTCACTGTGGATGTTTTCTCTGCCTTCGTTGTAAGTGGGGGTGCTAATTAGGAAGAAGTGGCTTTAGAAGATGGCTTTAATTTGCACAGTCAGTCTTGGGATGGTCAACTTTCAAGGTTTGAGATGGTAGGATTTACAAGTAAATAAGAGAAGTCAGAATCCAGTGACTCTCGGGCTATTGGTTTTTACCTCTACCTTATGAAAATGTATTTCGTATATGTTCTTGGGTGTCATTGGCTGTGTGTTGGATGTAAAATGTTAGCTTTGTTCTTTACAAAGACAAATTTGGAAGTTATCAGATAAACTTTTAAGCTTTTAAACTATAGGAATGACTCCTCCTAGATGGAAGGAATGTTTTGCTTTTCTGTTTGCCCTTTGTTTTTGTTTTTGAAGTCAGTGGGAAGGCAATGCCCGTATCTTTTCTTTTCTTTTCTTTTTGAGACAGAGTTTCGCTCTTGTTGCCTAGGCTGGAATGGCATGATCTTGGCTCACCGCAACCTCCGCCTCCTGGGATTACAGGCACACACCACCACACCTGGCTAATTTTGTATTTTTAGTAGAGACGGGGTTTCTCCATATTGGTCAGGCTGGTCTGGAACTCCCAGCCTCAGGTGATCCGCCTGCCTTGGCCTCCCAGTGTGCTGGGATTACAGGCGTGAGCCACCGTGCTGGGCCTTGTATCTTTCTAGATTTCAAGTTTCCTTGACTGGCGAACAGTAAGACGGCTGCAGCAGCCACAGTTACTGTGGACATTCTTAGGAAGATGCCTTTGTCTTTGTCTTTCTGCTTCTGTCGCTTAAAACCATATGTGTTCTCAAGGCATTTAGTTGACTGTAACTGGCCTTTTAATTGGATAGAAGAAAGCTTGGTGATGGGGAAGTACAGAATGTCTTCAGGATGCCCTCCTCATATGAGAATTTCCTGAAAGGCTGGGGCCAGCAGAGCGCTGCAGCCCTTGGCAGGGAGCCCTGTAGAATTTGCTGGAAATGCCCTTTTAGCTGGTTTTGTGCTGCAGGTTGCCTGAGACCCCTGTGTCCTCAAGTAGAACGTGCTCTATAGAAATTACTCATAACCTGCCCTCAGCAGGTCCTGGGAAGTGTAGGGTGCATGGGCCTGAGAAGAATTTAAGACCATTAGGATGGCAAGCCCACGTCTGTGGGGTCAGGCAGGTGGCGTGAAGGGAGGAGCTGGACGGAAGGGTGTGGGTGCTGGGTCCTCTCAGGACAGCCCCTGCCCGGCTCTGAGCCAGCTTTACCTGAGGGGATATAGACCTGGTGTGGCCACATCCTAAATGTGTTAAGAGCAGTGGGGAATCTGGGTTTTTGCTAATACCTTCAGACTTTTAGATGTTGACAGTTTAATTCAGAATTTTATCAGATGCTGTGTAAACCAATCCAAACACTCGCGAGGAAGCTGGGACCTGGAGACTTAGGGTTGCTTTCATGGAAGGCTCCCTGGAATTTAGGACACGGCTGGCACGTGCCTCTCAGAACAGCAATTTTCCCAGCAAACTTTTTCACAGCCTTGTTCTCTCTCTCTCTCTCTTTTTTTAATTGAGTCACTTTTAAGAATAAGTTGCTATTATTTGTTGGTTGGCCTGTGTGGAGTGTCTTATGAAGGGGGATCCAGAGAATAGAACTAAGCCTCTTAATGTCTGTTTAGTTTGATTCTGTCAACAACTTCATGAGGTGAGTAGAGCCTGTGCTGCCTTAGTGTTGGGGAAATAATCCTCAGAAGGTTCTCTCTGGCTGAAAAATACAGCGGGATTTTCTCTTTTAAATAAGAGTCTTTTCCTTCTGTTGCTCATTGCATGACACATCGTCCCGGAAAAGTGGGCACGTGGTGGTGGTGCGTTGGAGAATCAGTACTTGGTTGTTCTCTGTTCCATAATCGAATTTGAGAGGCTTTTTTTTTTTTCCAGGTGAAGGGAAAATCTTAAGTTATAATACATTTCACAAACTTTTGGAAATTTTGCTAGAGAAGAACTGATTAATAGTTATCTCCAGATAATTTCTGGAAAGGTAGTTGGGGAATGAATGCAAGTCATTTATGTAGCAAAGAATTTGTTCTTTGTTTTCTGCATAAATGGACTGCTTTGTTGTGGTCTTTTGGTGTGTCCCTCTGTGCTGCCCTAGTTTTAAAGTCTAGTGTGTAGTGTGGGTGCGTGGTATCAGGCGCTCTCAGCTCTCTTTTTCTGTGTGCATGCCCTTTGCAGACATCGGGCTGGGGAGTGACTCCGTGTGTGCCCGGCCCTCGTCTCACCGCATAAAGTCTTTTGACTCCCTTGGATCACAGTCTTTGCACACTCGGACTTCAAAACTGTTCCAGGGCCAGTATCGGAGTTTGGTAAGTTTGAGAGATTTTGTTACTTAAATATGTTTGGGAAGGATATGAGTGTGTATGCATGTATCTGGAAAGATACATAAGCCTCCATTAATGGTGTTAAACAGGGCGAAGTTAGCTGGACTTTGCCTCTGCTGCTCCTGTAATCGGGTTTGACATTTGCTCATTACCAGATTATCCAGATATTATGCCTAATGAGTGCTTTTGAGAAACGCGTTTGTTTTTAGGTTGTATTGTAAGACTCATGGCTCGCTATCTGGAGTGATGCGTGCTTTAAAATACATCCCTTGTCACTTGCATGGCATTATCAGCTATGCACATGTACAGAAATATGAGAATAAGAAATATATATATGTAGAAATACTCAGCTCTGTAAAGAAGAGATGGTTAAAACTAAAGAATCTGACTTTTTTTCTCTTCATGAAAGCATGGCTTAGTGTGCTTTACTAAGGCAGGATTTAGTTTACAGAGGAGGGAATCCCTTAGAATGGCTGATTGGGATGCAGAGAAAGAAACTTAGATGATTGAACAGTTGTTGTGGAGAGTGAAAAAATACTCTTTTATAAATGCTTAGGATACAGACTGTGAGGAAGACCCACGGAATGTAATAGTGAGGCTGAAAATGAGAAATTCAAGCCCTTAAAGCAGGGCTGCCTGGAGAGTGTTGGGGCAGAGCCAGGGCTGCTACTCCGTAGTCCTGCACCCTTCTCTGAGCTGCAGGCTGGCGTGCAGTGACTGATTGGCTGCTGGGGATACCACTGCTTTCTCGCGATGTCTTAGTACATTACTTTGTTGGAAACATAGTGATCGTGTAAAGTGAGTCTAGAGAGAACCCTATTCTAGAGTCATTAAGGGTCTATGGATTTTCCTCTGCCTTAACATGGGAATATTGCTAAGTAAGCTGGTGGCGGTCCTCAAGAAATAAAAATTAATTTAGATAGAGTGGTGTTTTGTAGAGGGAAGTAAATTAGAGTGGTTTATGAAGCGTGTGTTAAAAATGGAAAGACACGCAAGGAATGTGATTTTTATGTTTCTGAACTTTTTGACCTCAAGCTCGCCATCATTGCTGTGTCTCCTCTTACAGGACCCCTGAGGGGTCTGACTGCTCCCGGCGCGGTGGGCGGTGGGCTGCGTGGCCTGAGTGCTGCAGTCCTCACAGCGGCCCCACGAGGCCTGGCTGTTGCTGTTTCCTGCTTTGCAGGAGTCTGCACTGGAGGAATTCTGTGGACTACCATTGGGAGCATCGGAATTCCACGTTAAGGAGAACTAAACAAACCACTCTAAACACACTTGAAATTAGCTCTGTAAAACACCTGAGGAAAACATAAGCGATTCCAGCACGCCTTGGGTAAAGCCGTGATTTGCTGTCTCACCCGTTCATCTGATTTTTTTTCTTTTTGAGTAGAGGACTGGATTACAAATGTATAATTTTAAGTAAAATAAAGTTAAATGTAGTGTTGGTAATCTTACTGAGATCCTAATAAGTACAGGATTAATTTTTCATTAGCTGCAGAAATTTCGTTATGCTAGCAACAAGACTCGCGCTCTCTGACCTGTGTGAAGTCTTTTTGGGGCTGATTGATGTTTTGATTGGGTGCTAGTGAGCTGCCTGCTCTTTGGTGGAATGTACCAAGACCTCTCTCAGCCATGCTAGGTAAGAATGAGTGTTTCTTTACCCTTAGGTTTTTCTGTGTGTAGTTTATCAATAGCACTTTGAGGTCGTTTCCTTGGATTAAAAATTAAAAACTTATCTCGAAACAAGAATGGCCAAACATTCCTTTGAAGCTGGGCGGTGGATGCATGGAGGGCTACCTGTCACTCTCTCCTTTTGTGTGCATTTGAATATTTCCATGATAGAAAGTTAAGCTAAAAGGCAACTTGCAGTTTCTTGAACATCAGTTTTGAGATCATATTAAACCTCAGCTTTGAGATTGCGTAAGATGCTTCCATGCCCCAGATGAGGATCTGTGTTCTGAGGGGCTGGTGCTGTTTACGCCCCTTTGCTCTTGTGTTGCTCCTTCATTACCTGCCTCCCTTTCAGTGTAAGAATGTGTCCTCCAGCCACCACTGCAGTTGCTGGTGGTTTTTATAAGCTTGTTTTTCATCTGTGAAACCGTCAGCCCCCTGCCCCAGGACAGGTTTCCTGCCTCGGGATATAGGCAGGCTTGAACAGTTTGATGTTGTGTTTACTGCTTTGCACTGCAGTGGAGGTTTTCTCTTGTCTGTGGTGCTTCTCCACCATTCCAAGGAAAGAACACTCGCGAGAGTTCTTACCCACTTCCAGGGGCTGAGCTAAATCGAGCTCTGTATCCGGTTCGGCTCTGTGATGGGCCTCGGTGGTAGGCGCCAGCTGTAGGTTGAGGTATGGTTTTCCTCACAGATAAGGCATGAGTTCATACTTCACTCTTAAGAACTTTGATCGACACCGCTGGAGTTCCTGGTGTCTCTGCTGTGCTTTTTAGTCTTCAGCTGCTGGCTGCTGATAGGTACAGCCCTGAGTGCTGAATGCTGTTCTCAGAGCTTGGGGATGGCGTTTGTGAGGTGATTGTCCCCATCATCCTTCATTTCTGGGAGAGGTGACTTGATTTCTTAAAGTGCTTCTTCTGCTTCTGGCAACCAGGGACCTGGACGTCTGGCACAGTCCTGATGCTGGCAGGTAACCTTGGCTTTGGACCGGTCACTGAGTGTATTTCTAAGACATGCAAGAAATTATATCCAAATGTGTTGTACACATTGTTAAATATTTGTCAATTCGAAGGCTTCTCTTTTTAAGTCATGTTAACACATCTGGAAGTATGTGTATCTTATAGTTGATGGTATGCCATAATTTAATTGACAGTATTTGGTGGAATATAAAGGCATTGTCTAATTTTTGGCATCTTACATTGGTTGACATATTATGAGGAAACTGAAGCTTAGAGAAGATATTTACACAAGATCACGGCACTCAGAAATAGTCAAGTTGGTGTGAAAATTGTCTCAGTCCTTTGACAAACATTTCTCCTTCTGTGCAGGAAATTACAGGTGCTCTTAGAGAGTGGAGGAGAGGGTAGAGTTGGTGTGAAGCAGCACTCCAGAGTGTCCTGGTTTTGGATTGTTAGGATCATTTCAGAACATGGGATACAATAAAGTAAACAGCTGATTAAGATGCAAGATACTGATGGGTGGTGCTTTGGCTCTAGGCATCAGAGAGAGGCCGTTAAGGAGCATGGTGGGCATAGATGACTGTACCCAGCCAGGTCACGTGTGCCTGGATGGGGGTCTCTGTTCCCTTTGGGTTAGGGCAGTGGGGGAGCTGTCTTCACTTCTCTCCAGTTACTTTTCCTGACATGTAACATCCCTAGAAAAACAGTTCATGTGTTGTGTGCATACAGCGTCGTGTATTGCATGATGAAATTTTACACATGGAACGTTCCTGTGTAAGCAGCACCCAGATGAGGAGGCAGAGCATGACCAGCCTCCAACCCCTCGATGGGGCTCGCGTTCCCCAGGGTATCTGCTGTCCTGATGTCTAGTGGTAAAGAGGAGTTTTATCCATTTTTGTATTTTTTAGCAATGGGATTCTGTGGCATATCTTTTTTTTTTTTTTTTTTTCCTTTTACAACTGGCTTGTTTTTCTCAACTGAATGATTCAGACTCCCTTAAGTGTCATGTTGAGTCCAGACAGGTGACAAGCTACAGTTTCAGGAGAGCTTTTTCAAAAAGGGGGGGAAAACCCCACAATGATAAAATAGTGATGAAATACATCTCTTCCAGCTTCCTGTAACACTATTGACACTGAACAGAGCCCTCACTCAGCTGCCGTGATTTTAGGCTGAACTTGGTAGTATAGAGTGTGTAGTTGGAATATAGCCTTTTCTAGGACATCCTTTCCCAGCCTGTCCCATGCATCTTGCGCCCTGATGGAGCACTTGTTGGCATGTTCTAAGCAATCTGTCTGGAGAGTAATAGGCAGAAAGAGTATTACAGAGCCCACGTGTCCTTCAGCGTAATGACTGCTGAAGGATGGAGGTATGTTGTATTGGGATGTTTCACCTGGATACTTGGATCTGAAACGGCTGCCTGCCCCCTGTACCTTTCCTTGGATTCTCCCCTCTCTTAGACGCCACCCTTCCTTTCTGGGGTGTTACTTGCTGAAGTAATGTCAGTAGAGGTGCCTCCCTCATCCCTGCCTTGAGTGTAGAGCGTGCCTGCATTGGCACACTCATGACTGTCATCCGTGCCTTGAGTGTAGAGTGTGCCTGCATTTGCTCACTCATGACTGTCATCCGTGCCTTGAGTGTAGAGCGTGCCTGCATTTGCACACTCATGACTGTCATCCGTGCCTTGAGTGTAGAGCGTGTCTGCATTTGCACACTCATGTCCGTGCCTTGAGTGTAGAGCGTGCCTGCATTTGCACACTCATGACTATCGTCCATGCCTTGAGTGTAGAGCGTGCCTGCATTTGCACACTCATGACTGTGAGGTGGAACGCCACTGCCTCTTGATCATACCTCATCTCCCCTCTGCTTCCATTCAGGCCCGCGCTGGCCTCAGCCGTGGTGCTGGCTGGAGCCTCAGGGCTGGCCAAGGGTGACCCTGGGCACCTGACCTAGGGAGGGGCCTGCTGTGCCTGTGTTGCTTTGCTCACCACAGTCGTGTTGTGGCGTTGGAGCTCATCACCAGGCTGCATGCACTGTGAGCCTGTTTTCCACAAGGCCAGCGTGCCCAGGTGACGTTGGATTACTCACAGGAGAGTGTGGTGGCGATCACAGCAGACAGCTGGTGAGTGGAGATGGTGGTTTGCAAAAAGAGAACTTTACATAGCACAGTGAGCTCAGGTCACGTTTCACCACACAAGAGCGAGCAGCACGTGACAGTTTCTGGATGGGAGCTTCACTGGCAGTGGCAAACTTGACCCTGCCCCTTGTTGGTCACAGGGCCCAGAGAGCTTTGTGTCTGTGCTGGTGATTGTTCGCTGGCGCTTTTGTTGCCAAACAGTGAAGAGAGACTTCTTGATTAAATATGAAAAATGCATTAAATATTTCACTTACAAATTTGAATTATTAAGTATATATTTATAATTAATACTTAATCTGTAAACACATTTAAATAGATAAGTATTAAATATTTTTGGAATATTACAGCTACTTGTTACTGAGGATCTGTTGTGACCTCTTTGATGCTTTACCTTTTAAAAATGTTTTTTTCGGTGATTTATACATGCACTTAGTTTAAAGTCAAGTAATTCTCTGAAACCTGCTATTAGGAAAAAAAACAGTAGATTTGGCCACTTTTAATTTTTTTCCACTGGTTCTTTCTTCGTTCATTTTTATGGTACATAGTACATACGTATTTATGGGGTACACGAGCTGTCTTGATACAAGCATACAAGGTGTAATAATCGTATCAGTAACTGGGGACATCCGTCCCCTCTAGCAGCCGTGACTTCTGAGTGCTGGTTCTTAAGGAGTGCTTTCTGACGTGGGTAGTTGTTAGTTGGGAGTCCTGTGGGGCTGAGGGGGCGACCTTGCTGGACGGTTCTGTTTGGCTGTCTTGCTCCTCCGTTGGTGCTTTGTAGGTATTTGCCTGTGTGTCTCTAAATAAAGTGCCCCCCTTTTTTTCTTAATTTGAAGTGATATCAATGTGGATTCCCACAGAGAAAGAGGGGCTGGTGCTGTTTTCCTCCCCTGGCCCCCTTTCCTGCATAAATGCCTAGGCCCGTCGTCCCCATGGCTGAGTTCCACCATGCTTTCTCTGAGATCCGTGTTCAGGGTAACATGACGAGGCGAATGCTATTCAGAGCAGAGCCGCATTGTATGCTATGGCTGTTCTTACCCATAACGTTTTGTTTCGGAGAATTGGTAATTCTCATTTCTTTAGTTTTCTGTGTACTTTTTGCAGGTTGCAGATCTAGTCGTTTGCGTATTTCTAAGGGTCTCTTTGACATTCAAATACGTTATTTTTTTGTCTTCTCTTCCTGATTAACACTCTTGGAGCCTGTGCCGTACTTTAAACTCCCTTGGTTGTGAGCCAGGCTGGCCGCACAGCTGCTGCCTCTGAGCCGCCTTCCGTTGTCACCTGGGACACTCCCCCTGACTGTGTAGCTCTCCTCTACCTCTTTCTCTTCAGTTTTTTTGTTGGTTAATCCCCCTGTTTTGGAGAAGCACCTTTTTAACTCCTTGAGAAAGGGGTGCATGGGAAGTAAATTTTTGAGATATTGTATATCCGCAGATGTCTGTTTTATTAATTAGTTTTTTGTCTTTAGTTTTCATAAGTTTAATTACGGTATGAGTTGGTTTGAATTTCTTTAAGTTTATACTATTTGGGGTTCACATAGATTCCTGGATTGGTATATTTATGTCTTTTGCCAAATTTGGGATATTCTGAGCCATATTTCTTACCCTGCTTTTCAGCTCTGCCCTCTTAGACTCAGCTTCAAATACCAGTCTTTGAAGCTCTGTTATTTCCCACAAGTACCTGGGAGTGAGTGTTGCTGGATGGGGGGCTGATGATGGGCCTGCTAGCGGTAGAGCGGGGGCTGAGTGTGAAGAAGTGTGGGTGGTCTCAGGCCTTCCCTATGGCTGGGTGGAGGGCAGGGAGAAGCCGGTGTGGGCAGATGGAATCGCCTGCTGCCACCTGGTGGGGATAGAAGCCTGGACTCTGCTGATGTCACTGGTGCTCCCTGGAGCTCTGGACACTTGGTGCAGTTCGTGGGGACACTGTGTTGCAGGTGGGCTGGGCTCGCCTACTGTCAGTGGTAGGGAAGTGGAGTGGGCCAGGGCTGAGGTCTGCCAGGCGGCCCTTTCCTTGCTCCTGTGCCAGCACGAGCAGGCTTCTCCTGGGGTTGTCAGGCTGTGCCCTTTGATAGTTCTGCCTCTCCAGCCTCTCTGGAGCTCTGTCCAGGGCGATGGAAATGAAAGAGGCCCCAGCCCCTCTACCTTCCTCTTTCTACCTTTCAGAAATCTGAAAATATGTACAGTTTTTGAGAAAAATGCAAATTAAAATATGAGGTACTATTTCTTCTTGTCAGTTTGGCAAAAAATAGGAATATTTGGCAATATTGAGTGTTGGTGGAAGTTTGAAATAAGAACTTTTAGATACTGTTGGTGGAGATGTTGCTTGGTGTAGTTTGTAGAAACCTTTTGGAGGACAATTTAAAAAAATGTATTAAAAAGTTAACTGTAATAAATACGTCTTCTGACCAGAATTTAATATATAGGCTTGTTTACAGGTATATTCAAAGGTAGACATACAAATATTTTTAATGCAGCCTTGTCTACACAAGGAAAGCACTGTCTATGGTATATGGAAATATACTGGAAATAAATAATCTGAAAATCCACTAATGGAGAGTGGGTTCCATAATGAATGCTGTAGTCATATAGCATAACATGAAGTGTTAGGTAAGCACCAGTAAGTACTGCCAGAGAAATGACCATGTTGTCTTAACTTTTGCGACTTGTGGAGAAGTATGTGTAGTGTGACTCTGTCTCCACGTACATGGATGTGTCTGATTATGTAGGCATCACAGTGGCAGACCAGGACCTTTGAATGCTGTGAAGAGGGTGTGCTCTGGGGGCTGGAGTGGTGCTAGTGGTGGTCATGGTGCACTGGAAGGGAGGAAACTGAAATTTCTCTACATGTTTTTTTGCCGTTGGGCAGTTATGCTACCTTTGTACTAGTAAAGTATGATCTGTTTTATAATGAAGTAGACTGTTCTTGGTATAATTTTTCTCCCACTCTTCCCCTTTTAGGACATGACCGATAATAGCAACAATCAACTGGTAGTAAGAGCAAAGTTCAACTTCCAGCAGACCAATGAGGACGAGCTTTCCTTCTCAAAAGGAGACGTCATCCACGTCACCCGCGTGGAAGAGGGAGGCTGGTGGGAGGGCACACTCAACGGCCGGACCGGCTGGTTCCCCAGCAACTACGTGCGCGAGGTCAAGGCCAGCGGTAAGTGGTCGAGCCTGTCCTGTGTGTGGCTTTACTTTGCCATGAGCAGAAAGAAGTAAATGTACTTGACATAGCGTTTACTCTCCAGCTGGACCTGTGCAAATGACCTGGTCTTAGGATACGGTTTTTTGTTAGATGTAATGGATTTTCACCTCAGCCCCACACTGGGGCCCTGGCATCAAGGGCTCTATAGTTACCAGGCAGCATTTCCTTTCGTCCTGGCATTTTTCAGATGTGAAGAGAAACATCTCAGATCTTTAATCGTTGCAGTTTTACTGTGATAGAATTGATCCTCTTTTTTTTGGGGGGGGGCGGAGGGCGGGGGGCTAGTGTCAGGACTTGGAGTTGGTGATCCGCAGGCTGGATTTAATTTTTGTGGCTATGGGTGCTTTTGGCAGTGGCGTGCAGTGAGGTAATTTCTGTCATTTTCTTCGTACTAGTGATAGTATTTTACAAATGCATTGCTTCCTTATGTTTTGTAGCTGTTCACGTTGTTTCACCGGCTTTCCGATTTTGAGGCTTGTGTTCTTATGAAAGAATAGTGATCCTTGGCACGTGGCTGTGGCTGCTGGGCTGTCGTGCCTGTTGTGGAAGCATGTGGGTGGGTGGGCAGAGGTGGGGGGTGGGATTTGTCAAGGGGGCATCATGTATGTAACTTGCATCCTGCCCTGTGGTTGAAAAACACCGTTGTGTACTACCATTCCTCTGATTCTGCTGGGGAAAGAGTGACTTAGAGAGAATAGCTGATACACAGGGAGGTGTGGAAAGAACGTGATGTAAATTTATAGCTCTGCCCTAGGGCTTGGGTGACTGAGCCTCAGAGCCACAGGTGTTTCAGATGGAAAATGAGGATGATCGTTCTCCCTTGTGCGGTCTTGTGGGGTTGAATTGTTAAGGTTTGTACTATGTATGGAGTCTGGCAGAGTAGGAGCTAAGGGAATGTTAATGGCTGCTATTGTTTTTCTAAGGTAGCAAGAAAAAAAGATTTACAAATGGGAATATGACAATTTTGATGTAAAAATATTTTTTCAGTGACCTCAGAAAACAAGTAAACTTCTCTGGTAGAATTTCTAGGAACACATGCCTATTCTTTTTCTATTGTATGTATACATACACATATATATAAAGCAGTTTGCCATTTTTAAATGTACTGTTCAGTGGCACTAAGTACATTCACATTTTTATAACCATCACCACTGTTTATCTCCGGAACTTTTTTCTTCTCAAACTGAATTCTCTTCCCATTAAAGAGTCCCCTTTCCCCTCCCCAGACCCTGCCCTCTACCATTCTGCTTTCTGTCTCTGAATTTGATTACCGTTGGTGCCTCATGTAAGTGCAATCATTTTGTCTTTTGCCTGGCTTATTTCACTCAGCATAGAGTGCTCAAGGGTTTTCCATGCTGTAGCATATGACAGAGTTACCTTCCTTTTTAAGGCTGAATATTTCATTGTATGTATGTACAACATTATGTGTTGATGGGAACTTGGGTTACCTTCACCTCTTGGCTATTGTGAATAATGCTGCTAAGAGCATGGTTGTGTAAGTATTTGAGTCCTTGCTTATCAGTTGTTTTCTGTTTTCTGTATATACCCAGAAATGGAATTGCTGGGTCAGATGCTAGTTCTGTGATTAAGTCTTGAGGAACTGCCACGTGGTTTTCTCCAGTGGCTGTGCCACATCACGTTCCCACCAGCAGTGTACAGGGCTTCTGCTGCTTCTGTGTTCTCGCCAACTTGTTTTGTGTGTGTGTGTGTGTGTGTGTTTTTAAGTAATAGCCATGCTGTTGAAAGTGAAGTTGCTGCTGTTTTTGGTAGTTGTTAATAATAATTTAAAAGGCAGTATTTTTTATTGTAATAAGTCGACTTGGGCAGAATTTTTTTCTGGCTGCTTGTTATGTTCCAGTTAATATATAAAGTACTTTCCATTTGCAACTCGGTTCTCCCCATAACCCTTGAAGACAAGTATTGCTGGGCTATTAGGAAGCGGGTAGGTTACAAGTACATGACATCCTTTAAAAAAATCTGTCCATGTGTAGAGCCCACTGAGAGTGTGGCACTGGCACCATTCTGAGGGGTGGAAATGGCAACTTGACAGACATCGCTGTTAGGAAATGCAGTTTTGTCTGTGACTCAGTTGGATGGCGCTGGCCTGCATGAGCCTGCCTGGAGACCTAGGGCTAGGGCAGGCCCAGTCCATGCTGTGAGCCCATCTCCTAGCCCGGCCCTGCCAGTTGGAGAGATCTTTCTTCTGGGGACCAATGAGAGCAGCCCTGGGCCAAGAGGCCTGAGATGGCGCCAGTGGACTTTCCAGGAGGACACTTGAGCTGGGGCAGAGGAAGGAGGACCTCGTTGCTCACCTTTGCCAAGGAGAGTTGAGGTTACAGAGCTGCTGAGTGGACGCACCTTTAGAGTAGGGACAGATGCTTGTTCCAGCTGGTCTTTCTTTAATTCTTAAGTGAACTCCTCCTTAAGTGTGAATCCTGGACTGACTGAAGCACAGTAAGAGTGCAGGTGAGTGGGTTTTCACTTTTCATGTATTTTTCCTTGTGAATTTTTTAGAAGTAACCCAGCGTAAGGAAATTACACTGAAAAGAATGCGGTTTGTGGATCTCAAAATCCTCTCCAGTGGGACGTGGTTTTCAGACACATTTGAATGTTGTCAGTGTCATCTGCCGTGGGAATTTGTCTTGCAGTGTGCTCTTACCTCTGATAGCCCACAGGAAGACATCGTGAGCTCCCTCTTTGGAGTGGATTGTGGGTCCTGGAGCTGGCAGCAGCAGAGGATGCTGTCCAAGGACCAGCAGGGCGTGTTTAGAAACACGGCTCTTGTGAGGAACGGTGCTCTCACTTTGTTCTACCCGAAGCCCCCGCTCATGTCTTATGTGTGTCTGAGCGTGTGTGCGTGCCCGGTTTAAACGTGTGTGCGTGTACATGGTGTGTTGCCATCAAGGAGCTCTTTGCAGGGGCCACACTGAATCCATAGGTGTATTAGGGTTCTTCAGAGGGACAGAACTAATAGGGGATATATATATATCTCTCTCTCTCAAGGGGAGTTTGTTATATATATTATATATATAAACATGCGTATATAATAAACATGTATATATATTATATATATAGGAGTTTAACTTACATGATCACAAGGTCCCACAATAGGGGAATGTATAAATACGTACATGTGTGTATATATATGTATATATGTATACTATATGTATATACACACATATATATATGTATACTATATGTATACATACACATACACGCGTGTATATATGTATACTATACACATACACACGTTTCTGTGTATACTATATATACGCATGTATCTGTATACTATATATACACATATGTATACTATATGTACACATGTATCTATGCATACTATATATACACACACGCATATGTATGTATACTATATGTACATACACACATGTATATATGTATACTAAATGTAGACACACACATATGTATGTATACTATATATGTATACGAGGTCCCACAATAGGTCATCTGCAGGCTGAGGAGCAAGGAGAGCCAGTCCGAGTCTCAAAACTGAAGAAGTTGGAGGCCGACGTTTGAGGGCAGGAAGCATCCAGCACAGGAGAAAGATGTGGGCTGGGAGGGTGGGTCAGTCTCACATTTTCACATTTTTCTGCCTGCTTTATATTTGCTGGAAGCTGATTAGGTGGTGCCTACCAGCTTAAGGGTGGGTCTGCCTTTCCCAGCCCACTGACTCAAATGTGAATCTCCTCTGGCAACACCCTCGCAGACACATACAGGATCAATACTTTGTGTCCTTCAATCCGATCAAGTTGGCACTCAGTATTAACCATTACAATAGGTTTTGTGCCAAACTGAGACCTGAGTAACTTTGGAAAATTTCCCCCTTTTTCCTGTTTATTTTTTTAAATTCAAGAAATACCATTTTTGAGCATATCAGTGATTAATAAGCTAAACTTTATCTGATGGTTGAACCAAGGGAATAACCTTCTGTCCCTGTTGTTCTCTGGTTACCTGAGCATATTGTATGGAAAGTCCTGCTAGTTTTATTTTAGCTTATTTATTTTTAATTTTATTTTACTATTTCATTTTGAGATGGAGTTCCACTCTTGTTGCCCAGGCTGGCGTGCAGTGGCTGTCACTGCAACCTTTGCCTCCTGGGTTCAAGTGATTCTGCCTCAGCCTCCCGAGTAGCTGAGATTACAGGCATGCACCATCATGCCTGGCTAACTTTTGTAGTTTTAGTAGAGACGAGGTTTTACCATGTTGGCCAGGCTGGTCTCCAACTTCTGACCTCAAGTGATCCACCCGCCTCAGCTTCCCAAAGTGCTGGGATTACAGGCGTGAGCCACCATGCCCAGCCTAGTCTGATTTTAAACGGGGGCATTTGAGGCAAGTGTGAAACCACATTTTTTACCATGTCACTCTAGAGCAGTTAAGAGTAAAATTCTAGGATCACAATTACGTTTCAGTATAGCAGACTTCCCTCTCATCTCTGGCTTTGCTTAATGTGGTTACAATTACCTGTGGTCAACCCTGGTTTGAAATAGGTGAGAACAATACAGTAAGATACCTTGAAAGAGAGACCACATTCACATAACTTTAGTTATAGTATATTGTTATAATTGTTCTGTTTCATTATTAATTGTTGTTAATCTGTTATATTATTGTACCTAATTTCCAGATGAAACACACATGGGTATGTATAGATAGGAAAACATAGTATATATAGGGTTGGTATATATACAGAGGTATAGCCGCAGTTTCAGACATCCAGTGGGCTGTCTTGGAGGTGCCCCGTGGATAAGGGCGGCGGCTGTATTGCATGTTTTCCAGTAGTTGATGAGGCTTTCTGATTTTGGAATTAGGTTTCCTTTTTTGAAGAGTGTGTTTAATGTATTTTGATTTATAGTTAATTAGTGCTTGATTTTTCTGAAAACAAAATTGTGCCAGGTTCCAAACTTAGAGACTTCTCTGACCATCATGTTAGGATCATTCTT